CAATAACTGAAATGAAAAAAATCAGTGGAGAAATTCAAAGGCAGATTTTAGCAAGCAGAAGAAAGAAAAGCAAACTTGAAGTTAGTATATTGGAAATTATCAATTCTGAGGAACAGAAAAAAAAAGATTGGAGAAATGTGAACAGGTATCTATCTAAGGTATCTATCTGTGAGATACCATCAAATGTACCAACATATGCATTACGGGAGTTCCAGAAGAAAAAAGTAAGTGATAGAATATTCAACAAAGTAATGACAGAAAACTTTCCATATTTGATGAAAGACATGAACATAAACATCCAAGAAGCTCCATAAACTACAAGTAATAAACCTAAAGAGACCCATACCAATACACATTATAATGAAACTTTGGAAGCCAAAGAGAGTTTTTTTTTTTTTTTTTTTTTGGTACCAGGGATTGAACCTGGGGGTGCTTAGCCACTAAGCCACACCCCTAGCCCATTTTATATTTATTTTGGGACAGGGTCTTGCTAAGTTGCTTAGGGCCTCATTAAGTTGATGAGGCTGGCTTTGAACTTAAATCCTCCTGACTCAAAGAGAGAATCTTGAAAACAGCGAAAAGCAATTCATAACATACAAGAGATTATCAGAAGATTTCTTATCAGAAACTTTGAAAGCCAGGCTGATGTATTCAGAGTACCAAAAGAAAAGAACTGTCAACCTATATTCCTCATTTTTTTTTTCAAAATTAAGGAAGAAATGAAGACTTTCCGAGATAAGCAAAAGTTGAGGAAGTTTGTTACCACTAAACCTGCCATACAAGAAATGTTCAAAGGAGTACTGCAGGTTAAAATGGAAGTACAGTAGACAATAGCTAGAAGTCATACAAAAAAATAAATATCTCAACAAAGGTACATACTTGGGCAATGCTAAAAGTTAGTATTATTGTAACAACAGTTTGTAACTCTGTTTTTTATTTTCTACATGATTTTAGAGACTAAAACATTTTTTAAAAATAATTATTAGTTGCAAAATTTGCATTATTGTAATTTTGATTTGTAACCTATATTTGTTTCTACATAATTAAAAAAAACTAGTTTTTAAAAGAATCATTAGCTTATGTTTTGGAGAACACAGTGTATATAATGGTAATTTTGTGATATAAGCCATTGAGAGGTAGGGACAGAGCAGTGAAGGAGCACTGTTTTTTTGTTTGTTTTTTGTGTTTTGTGTTGCTGAAGTTAAACTGGTTTAAATGGAAATTAAAGTGTTGTAATTATGATGTTAATTGTAATACCAATAGTGACCACACACACACACACACATTATAGAATACACATGAAAAGCAATGAGAAAGGAATTTAAATATTCCCTACAAAAAGTCAGCAAAAACACAAAAGAAGATAGTAATGCAGGAAATGAAAAACAAAAAGCTAAAAGACCTATAGAAAAGATTAACAAAATGGTAGAAGTCATTCTTCATCCATGATTATTGTATATATAAGCGGGTTAAATTCTCCAGTCAAAAGACAGATTGGCCAAAAGGATTCTACAAAAAAACACAATCCAGTTGTATGCCATATATAAGAGACTTTAGTCCAAAGACAAACAGATTGAAAGAATGGAAAAAGAAAATTCCATGCAAATGGTAACCAAGAGAAAATAGGGGTGGCTACAGTAATATTAGACAAAATGATTTTAAATCAAAAAAGTTTATAACAGACAAGGAAGGCCATTATGTAGTAATAAAAGTTTGAATACAGCAAGAGAATTTGGCAATCATAAATATTCACACATTTAATAACATCAAAATTTGTATGAGGCAAAACCTGACAGAAATGGGAAGAGAAATATACACAGTTCTACAATAGTAGTTGAATACTGTAATCCCCACTCTCAGTAGTGGTTAGAACAACCAGCAAGAAAATAATTAAGGACACAGAGAATGTAAGCAACACAATAGACCAACTAGATCAAACAGAACATTCTACCCAACAACGGTAGCGTAACATTCTTCTTGTTGCACATGGAATATTTTCTTCAAGATAGACCACATGTGAGGTCACAAATAAAGCCAAAACATGGAACATAAAGAATGGAAATTTTGACCTAGGGTACAACATAGATGAACCTTGAGGATATTATGCTACATGACATAAGCAAGTCATGAAAAAGTAAAATAAGGTATGATTCCACTCATATGAGGTACATAGAAAGTAGGATAGTGTTTCTAGGGGATTAGGAGAGAAAGGAATTGGGGAGTTTAAGTTTAGTGGGTATAGAGTTTGAGTTTTAAAATTGGTCAAGATAGTAAATTTAATTTAATGTGAATTTAAAAAATTCACAAGAAGAAAAGCAGGGGGGAAATACTGGTCATTAAGAATTAATTCCATCAACTTGTTTTTTTTGTTGACTTTTTTTTATTGGTTGTTCAAAACATTACAAAGCTCATGACATATCATCTTTCATACATTTGACTCAAGTGCGTTATGAACTCCCATTTTTACCCCAAATACAAATTGCAGAATCACATCAGTTACACATTCACATTTTTACATAATGCCGTATTAGTGACTGTTGTATTCTGCTACCTTTCCTATCCCCTACTATCCCCCCTCCCCTCCCTTCCCATCTTCCCTCTCTACCTCATCTGCTGTTGTTCAATTCTCTCCCTTGTTCCCCCCCCCCTTTCCCCTCACAACCTCTTATATGTAATTTTGTGTAACATTGAGGGTCTCCTACCATTTCCATGCAATTTCCTTCTCTCTCCCTTTCCCTCCCCCAACTCGTCTCTGTTTAATATTAATCTTTTCCTCATGCTCTTCCTCCCTGCTCTGTTCTTAGTTGCTCTCCTTATATCAAAGAAGACATTTGGCATTTGTTTTTTAAGGATTGGCTAGCTTCACTTAGCATAATCTGCTCTAATGCCATCCATTTCCCTGCAAATTCCATGATTTTGTCATTTTTTAGTGCTGCGTAATACTCCATTGTGTACAAATGCCACATTTTTTTTATCCATTCATCTATCCATCAACTTGTTTTATGTGTCAATTCAAAACCTCTTTGGTATTTTGCCCAAGAATCCTCAACTCTTCTTAGAGAATATTCTGACACTAAGCTGTCCCATAGTTTGAAGTTAATAAACCTGAATGAAAATTCAACCCTATCACTTAATAATGGCAAAGAGTATTCATGTTGATTTCTCTAAAATACATATCTTTACAAAATTATTGAGAATTAAACATAATATCTCTTTTTCCTAAATGTGAGTGGCTTGCTATAAATGTGTCTTAAGTGAAAATCACCATGATGCAAAAATCATAGCCATTCTAAAATGCAAAGTTTCAGAACAAGCCTTTATAGCTTTTTAATATTTCCTAAATAAAAACCAGGTGTTTGTGATAAGACATTGAAATGAAGGATAAGAAAAAGAAACATGCTGCAAGTGAGTTGGAATTGGAGAAATAGACGAGTTTTGTACTTTCACCTTTCTTGTCTTCGGAATGCTCTGAGAATGCAGGAATCAGAAATTGAATCACAGTAATTCCATATACTACAAATAACTGTCCCTTCCAGAGTACATAAATGTATTGTACAGCCATGGGGGGCAAATAGATCTCTGTTTTCTTTCACGGGTTAGCAACTGACTAGTTTTGTGGCCTGAGATACACCTTTAAACATTCTGAGCCCATTATCATATCTATTGATCAGGAATAATAATCCCTGAGAATCTTTATTATTTTTTTCAAAAGGCATGTTGTGAATCAGTAAGAAAAAGGTGGAAATTCCATTGGAATGTAATAGATATTTCACAAAGTAATTTGAAAAACAAAGAAACTATAACCAAATAAGAGTAAATTAAACCAATGATATTTTCTCCTTCTATGTGATTGACAATAATTGAATATTTGTCATTTTAGATATTAGGAGACCATATTTAACAGCCATCCAAGGGCCACTTAAAATTAATTAAGGTAAATAGTTGGGCAGGACTTAGATCCTGCTACTCAGAGAAGATTTAGAGCTATTCTGGTGACAAAAGGAGCTTTGAGAATTTGTTCTCATTTATACAATTCACCAGAAATTTGGGGGAAACTAATGTTATAGATGACCACACAAGAAAAAAACAAAGATGTAAAGATGAGGGCGGAGAAGATGAGGATGATGTCTTGAACACTCTAGAGTATGCACTGAATAATGTTCACTGAATTCCAAGGTAGGTGGGGCAAATGAATTAGGAAGCCTTATTTACATGATGAGTTATAAACAGTGAAGTCATTACTCCATAGTAGTTGCTAAGAGCTTACACAATAAAAATATAAATTTTATGTGAAATATAAATTTTATATGTGATAATAGCAACAACTGAAATTAAGGTGGTGATAGGCTTTTCTAAACTCACACACGCCCAAGTTATAGAAAGAATATTTATTAAGCAGTTATGTATGGAACCTGGAATGGTAAAATTATCACATTCTTTTTAGTTGAGAATTATTCTTTTTATTGTAGAATACGAAGGATAACCAAGAATGGCATGCAAACATGATGTTTGCCTATCTGGCTCTAGAATCAAGGACTCTGAGTTCCTTGCTGGAGAAGCTTCATCTCCCTCCCCCTTGGCTAGTGGGTCCCCATTGATGATATTTGGAGAATACTATTTTGGATTTTCATAATTGGTAACAATCCTAAGGTTAGAATGCTTCCATTCTTCAGTTAAACCAAAGCCATAAACCACTTAAAGCCATAGGAAACAAAGTTGAAAATAGAAGGCCCTAACTGGTTATTTCATATATGAAAAGCTTTGATTCATCTGTTGGTGTGCAGCTGTGGGTCCACTCCACTTCCCTTCCTCATTTAGTCAGTGAAAAAGGCCACTTTAGACAGAACCCAGTTCATTAGCAACCCAGAGCAAGCATTTCAGTGGGTGACCATGCTGGACCCCTAGTAGGAAGTGGTTTCTGATGTGTTTTTCATGTTCACTCAGAACACCTAAACATGAGGTCTCTCCCTGACTCTCCTCCACCTCTCTGTTCCCCTCAGGACTACTGGCTCTCTCTCCTTTACAAGCGCCTGATCGGCCCCAAAGTTTTGGCTGTGCATGTGGCTGGGCTCCAGCGGAAGCCAAGGCCAGGCCGAGTGATCCGGGACAAACTAAGGATTTATGCTCACTGCACAAACCACCACAAGTAAGTCTTAACAGAGAGGGAACAGAAAGGCCACCATGGCTCTGCCCCCATTTGGTATACCTTCAAGGAATATTTATGTTCATTATTCGTAGTTAAAAACTGCCTCTAGAATCACCATACTCTGCAGGTTTCAAATGATTTTTGATAAGTAGATTTTTCTCCAAGTCAACTCCCCTTCTCATATTTACAGGTTTTATTCATAAAAGGTTAATAAAATACATGCTATTCATTCATTTGCTTATTCATCCAATAAATTTTTATTGGCCATTTTCTCTGTGCCAGTTGATATAATGCCCACAAGGTTTTTTCTGTGTGCATAAGACTCAGGCAAGGTGAGTGGCCAAATCTCACCCTATGATCCACCAGCAGAATTTGAGAAAATAAGTCTCCATTTCTAAGATGTATGCTGGAGAGCTACACCACTAGAATCCTAGCCCTAGACCAGACTTTCTCAAACTGGAGTCCCTAGAACTAAAAGAGTACCCAAAGGTAGTCATGCCAGCTTTAGAGCCATTTCTGTATTTCAAAAATCTTCTTCATTATTTTAAGTGTTAAAAGGCTAAATAAAATGTAGGCTTCTTTTTCGGGGGATGGGGGTGCTCACATGTATAACAATCCAGTGAGGTAACATGGTGTTATCATTAGAGTTGTCTTTAAAATAAATAGGAAAATTAATTATCAGTAAATAAAGTTTGCCAGGTACAAATTTTAAAACATTTAGACCATAAGGGAAAAACATAAAACTGGGCCTAAAGCAAAATTCATCTGGCCAAGTAGGTCTTTCTGACATAACTTCCTGTTTAAGGCAAAGTAAGCTGCTCTGGACAAGAGAATTCTTTCTCTTACTGCAGAAAAAAACCTTGGGGCAGGGACAGGTAGCTAGTGCCTCCTGCTAGACCTCCATTCCTGGGCCTATCAGGACTGATCAAGTGGAGGGGAAGCCAAAGAGCTGCCATGGTCAGATTACACCAGATGCTACTTCTCTGTCCTTGATGAGACAGGAGCCAAACCAGTTAATTCCTCATGATAAGCTATTTCAAAGAAGCACTCTGAGCAGTGGGGGTTGGGGGCAGTTGTCATGCCTGTAGATACAAGTGCCTATTGTAGGTGAGGGGAGGCTGTTTGGGCAGAGGCCAGAAGCTTTCAACATCCCTTTTGCTCAGCAGGAAGCTCGATCCCATACCTGACAGAGAGTGACTGCTTTATGGCCTTGGCCTGAAGTTATCTGATCATCACACAAGGCAGCATTGTATTTCTTGTCTCTGCCTAGCCCTGAGGTAACCACCAAAGGTGGACCCCCAGCCTCAAGACAGAAAAATTGATCTTTGCACCTTCCTTCCCTGTTGGAAAACACACCAGGCTGTGGCCTTTTCCCTGAGGACCCAGGGAAAAACTGTCAGTAGCCTTATGGATTTAGCAGGAGTTGTATGTCCTCAGGGAGGGCCACTCACAAGGTCTCAAGTCAATGTTCATTCCAGTGTTCTTTGACATTCTCATGGAAGTTGTTACAATATTCTCGGGATGCCATGAACCCTGGGCCAGTGTCTCATTCATTTTTATAAACTTTATGTCAAATATAGTGACTGGCATGAAAAAGGTCTTATAAATATTTGATAAATGAAAGAATAACTGGACAAATGTAGAAATAGGGCTTTGAGGTGTTACTGCTGGTTAATGGCTCTTTCCCCTGTGGTGTCACCACATTAGCTAGGGAAGGTGGTGTGGTAGAATGGTTAGGAGTTCTCCCATTTACCACCATGAGACCTCGAACAAGTGAGTAAAATCATCAGGATTGGATCCTCTCTCTCTCCACCCTGGCTGACCTCCACTTTCTATGGGAAGTCACTGAGGAACCTTTCCGGGGAAGAGGTGCCACCAGGTTTCTATCGATACCTCTTCCATTCCCTGTTAAAAAGAAAGAAAAAAAAAAAAAGCTTTCATAATCCATGTCACACGTGATGCTAAGGATAAAAAAAAAATGAGGCAAAGGTCTTCTTGTTCCTATTAGGTCTGGAAGGAAAGACCACAGTGGACCCACTGAGCCACAGAGGTTGCAGGTCTCCTCCCTGTGGTGGGTGCAGGTGCCTGGAGAGGTTTGTGCCCCCACATCCACCCTCCACAATCATCATTAGGAAGCTCTACTGACTCATTTAGTTCAGGTGTGGCCAAAAAAGCCAAAGTCACAGAATTATCCCAAAGTGAGCATGTTCCTTTCATGCAAATCAGCCTTGACCAGTACTCTGAAAATGAATGTCCTGGGACAAAACAGGAATTGGATGAAAAAGTATAAACTTACTAGTAAAGCAATCCAAAGAAAGTGTCTATTAGAACAACAACTCCTACACTCCAGGGTGTATTGGACACTTGCTCTGTGACAAGCATCCTGCCAGATGTTTGCATTTACATTATCTTCTTGAGTTCTTAGGGTTCTGTGGTATCACCCCAGTATGTGAATAACAGCATTAATGATGCATTGTCCCAATGCTCTATTGAACACAGGAGTCCTTTGTCTCCTTGAAATTCAGACATAAAACACTGACTTAGACACCTCACCACCTTTGAGGGAAGCCTCTTGCATTGAGGATCATTTCTGACCTAGCAGAACCTTGTCTCGTAATTGATTTAGGGAACAAAGCTGCTCATATCAACACCAGCAGGTGCTTTTCTGCTTTCTGTTCTGGAATTAACAAATTAGGACATGGGCAGAATGGCAGATCTTGTTCAGAGAACAATAAAGTTTTGACAGAGAAATCTTTTTATGAGCCATTCTGCTGAGACAATGTATGTTTCTGGGGTGGAATTGAGGTCCTTAGCCAAGTTTAGAACCAGTTGGAACCTGGTGGATGTTGAAGCAAACTTGAGCCTTTTGGGGTTCAAGTTCGTTTATTATTGGCAAAACACAACTTCCTGTTTTTCAGAAGAAATTTTTTTAAAGGCTCATAAAAAAGGTTCCTGAGGCTTCTTGGACATCAAATGACTGTTACAAAACAATATTTTGATGAGTTAAGTGTAAATGAATCAGAAACATGTGGATTAAATTTCCCTTAAAATACACAGGGGCTTTGAAATTAAGGGGAAAAATGTTTGGCAAAACAGGACCTGACTTTTACCGAACCCAAAACCTTTGAATTAGATTTGGAGACAATGGAGCAACCCAGTTTCAAGCACATTGCCTTTCACTGGGAATGACCATGGGCTGCAGAGCATCATCCTCTCTTCCTTTTCCCAGACTCCTAGCTTCACTGGAGATGTTTCTAGAACACAACTGTTTTCTATCTGGAACTCAAGATGCACTTCCCATATGACATCTCCCACCTCTTACTTTCAAGATATTCTGAGTACAGCCTCCTTTCCCTGACTCACTTCCTCCTCCTCCCATGGTAACACAGAGAAGATGTCAGGCAGGAAAGGAGCAGCCAGAAAAGATGAACTCCAGATACATGGATTGGCGAAAAAGTTTCACCATGAGTGAGACATGGAGTAAGAGAGAAGTTCTGTAGAAACAGTTTCTCTCCGGAAAGGGGCATTTACTAAGAAAACCAAAAGCCAGCTAGACCTGACAACATCAGGAGTCAAAATGGCCTGCTGACCAAGCCTTCAGACACCAATTTCTTAAGAAACAGATACTCTCCAGGGTTAGTTTTCTATAGCAGAGAATATGCATTCTTCAAGAATCTGCATTCTCCACACATACTGTCAGGTTTGATGTCATCCCCAGCCAAGCATGTGTCTTTGTAGCCATAAGTCCTCTGCTTCATGTCTTTGCCCCTCAGCCAGGCAGGGCGAGGGGGGATGGCTGAGGTAGTGCCAATTCCTACCTGAGGAGGCTCCTTGAAGTTCTGTGAGAGCCTGTGCACTTTAGTCCCCCTGGGCTGTATGGGTTTGTCTCCCCCAGGGGATCTATGTAAATGGAAATCAGACCACTGCCAAGCAGCTTGAAAAGACAACTTTCCCTGCAGCAATGCTGTGATTTCAGGTCTCCCTCCCACCCACCACTTCCCCACATTCCCACCCTTCTTTCTGAAGTCTCCAAGGGCTCTTTCTGCCCCAGCTCCGCAGAGGAGAAACTCATAAATGCAAGCATGTGGCTCTCTCCTCCTCCAGTGCTGGCTTTTGAGAGTGTTGTTTGATAGTTTGCAAAAGGGAATTACTGCAGTCTGGCAAAACTGGTGCCCACCCATGCATATTTTGCTCACACTCTAAAGCCCAGAGTACCTGCAGGGAATGGTATCTTCCTCAAGTTTCCATGTTAGCTAAGTTAAGTTGGAAGCCCAAGAGGAATCTAGTTGGTATTCTTCTTTAGTGATGGTCAGCACCAACACAGACCACCAATATCTTTCTTTAGAGCTCTGGTGACACAAGTCTGCTCACATCATTGATATTCTCTTCTGACTCATGTAGCTACAAAAGCTAGTTCATGTGCTCCAGGGGATTCCGAAAGACTGGCAGAGGAGGTACTACTGCATAAGAGAATCATTTAATAGCTTATCAGAACATAAATGCAGTCATCCAGAAAGCTTTGAACACAATAATGTTCCCTCCTAAGAATGCAAAAAGGATCATCTGATGCACAGCCAGCAGAATATTCTGGGAATTCTCCTCATAATTTTAAATGGAATGTTCTAAGTGAGTGTAAGCGCATGGCACACAAATGACAGAGGCAGGAAGCAGATCCCAGATCAGCAAGCATCTCTTTATTCAGCGGAAAGGTCTATTTGACAAACACCTGGTGTGGCTCATTTTCAGGGATAAAATGGCTGCTGGCCACGAGGTTCTGGGCTTTATATACAGCCTTAGCAGAGCCAGGCCATGGGACGAGTTTTGGTGGCAGAATCATTTAGGCCAGGGTGGAAAGACAGATAGATAGGTAACCTTATCCTTCGGTAAGAGGTTATCAAACCCAAATCATTGACCAAATATCTCAGAAAGACTTTTTAAAATACAGGTTCACAGGCCACAAACCTAAATGGATTGAATCCGAATCTCTAGGGAATAGCCTTGGAATCTTGCATGTCTTTTAAAAATTCCAAGTTATCATACTGACCTGCCCTTGGCTGCTCAACTCTTAATTAGCACCTTTAGAAGCAGAGATGAGTGACCCAGGGAACCAGGGGTGCTATGTCGGCAAGGAACAATGTTCTCCTCTGGGCAAAGTTGACTTAGAGTTTCTCTGAACTCCTTCCTTGAAGATGGGACTGGGTCATTTTTCTCTGTTTCCTCTCATTAACCCATCCAGATGGGGCCCTTAGGGACCCCTGAGAAACAAGGCTTTTTTTTTTTTTCTTTTTCTGCTGAGAGAAGGAAATCATTATAGTGTCATCAGTGCTTGCTGAAAAGTTCTTACACATAAGCATATAGCTCTTTTAGGCTTCTGGACATCCTGTGCTGGTTTAAAAGAAATCCAAAATGGTGAATAGTTTATAATCTTGAGGCAGGTAAAATAGCAAAAGCAGGAGTCAACAAAGATAAATAAATTCAACTACACAAAATTTCTTAACTTTTATATATCAGAATACAATGTAAACAAACTGAAATGCTCAAAGAAAACTGTGTTAATCTGTGCAATACACTTGTATACAAAGGTTTCCTGTGTTTAATAAGTACATAATTTTCATAAATGAATAGGAAAATGGGCAAAAGACATGAACAGGCAGTTTACAAAAGAAGAAAGGTGATGGAAATGGGCAAATGAAGAAATGCTGCACCTTAGTATGAATTGGAAAAAATACAAATTAATAAAACATCAAGATCCCATTTTCACCTCTCAGGTTGACAGGGTATTTTAAAAGGTTAATATTTGATACTCTTAAAGTATGAGAAAATGAGTGCTCTCATTCAGAGGCTGGTAGAAACAAATGGTTGCAAAATTTCTAGAGAGTTAACATTACCAAAATGTGTGTACCCATCAGGATAAGTGAGGTTATGCTGTGATAACAAAGAACCCCCAAAATCTCCACAGCTTTCAATAAGGATGGTTATTTCTGATTCATACAATTTGTCCATCATGGCCCCCCTGTAGCTCTGTTTTGCATAATCTTTATTCCAACACCCAGGCATAGCCTCTGTCAAAACATTGTCAGTCTTCTGGCAGAGAAAAAAATTAAGGGCAAAAACATAGGCTGGCCTCTAAAGCTTCTGCCCAGAGGTCTTAGCATCCACTCACATTTCACTGGACAAGGCAAATCATGTAATCACTTTGGGGTTCAGCAGATCAAGGACGTAAAATCTTCTCATGGGGAGGGCACCACTAGAAATAGACTGGAACGTTTGGTGACAAAACATACAATGTGCTTTCCCTTGGCCTAATATTACAACTTCTAAGAGTTTAATCTATCAGAAATAATAATGATGTCCAAAAAGTTTATGTACAATTAAGCTTTTCATGACATAATTTATAATGGCAAAAAATTGAAAGCAACAGAAGTTCACAAAAGTAGGGGATTAGCTAAATAAATGATGTTACAATTCTATGGTTGAAAAATTTACAAGTAGAAGAATATATAATAGCATGAGAACATGTTTAAGATTATTGTTAACTGAAAAAAGCTGTGTGAATAATGTGATCCCAATTACATAAAAACTGAGTAATATATTTGTATGTGTCAATGTACTTAATAAATATTTTTCAAACTAAAAAAATACTGCAAGAATATTTTCCAAAATGTTGTCATATCTCAAGATTAAATGATTATGGGGAATCTTCATTGTATTTTTATATATTTTTCTAGGTTTGTTTGTTTGCAATAATCATGTTTTACTTCCATACTTAGAAAATATATGTATTTCTATATACATATATCTCTATATCTGTTTTTTTTCTAAAATCACTGCCATACGTTTTTAAAAATACAAGAAATGTGGTGGGAAACAGGTATCTTCTCAGGAAACCACAATATCAAGGCCTTCCTGTCTTGAAGGTCTGTTGTGACAAAGAGCCATAAAACCAGTGTCCTTTTCTGGGGTGGTCCTCTTTTGTGTAGCATATAAATAATTTAGGAGCATCTAACTGACCACTTTGTTTCCATCTTTTCCCTTCTGTCTTTTCTGGATCTCAGCCACAACTATGTCCGTGGCTCCATTACACTGTTTATTATCAACCTGCATCGATCAAGAAAGAAAATCAAACTGGCTGGAACTCTCAGGGACAAGCTCGTGCACCAGTATCTGCTGCAGCCCTATGGGCAGGAGGGCCTGAAGTCCAAGTAAGTGCCAACCTGGAAATAACTTAGGAGTAAGTGTGGCAGGAGCTGAGCGGAGAGGAAGCTGGAGTCAACCCATTGCTGATGGTAGTGGTTTGCTCTGGGCTTCAGTGGCATAGAGTAGAACAAAGAGTGGTCTGAAGTCAGAAAACTGCTGACTTTCAGCGGCGTGGGTCAAGCCCGTCTTTGTCTCTAGGTTTAGTACAGTCAAGGCAAGTGGTGGACAAAATATTTATCAACAAGGGTACTCTTGAAATTTGAGCAAGGCAGTTCTTCATCATGCCAGGTTATCACACCGCCAGCTATTTAGCATCCTTGGCACCTGCCCACTACATGCCAATGGTGCCCCTGGTCATGTGACCACCCAAAGTCCTGGTAGTTGATTACAGTGCCCCCTCCAGCTGTAATATTCTGTAATGTTATGACCCCTTTTCATCACCATCTACAAGCCTCATGAGTGTTAAAGGAAGAAGCATGGAAAAGGGGTCAAACGGTTCTGTCCCCCACTTTTCAACTTTGGGCACATCACAGCTCAAACTCAGTTTCTCCATCTAAACAAAAGCAGGGAGATTATATTCTGGAGACTCTGTGGCCCTTTCAAACTGTAAGATTCCATGAGAGCTCCTACCTCCCTCAGTCTCGGCTACAGCATATTGACAACACTACTCTACCAACAGAAAGCAGTTCCCCCCGGAGTGAGAAGGACCTGGTCAAGGGCAAGGCCATCCCCAGCTCCCCAAGCAAGGCCTCTCAGGAAAGGCATGGGATGCTCTGCAGACTGGGGGCGTTCCTGTTCCATTTTTAATGTTTACCAAGTTTAACAAAGCTGTAAACTTGGAGCAGGTGGCTTGCACTCCCACAGCTGCCCACAAATATTTGTGCTATAATTGTTCACTGTTTCACTGCAACCTTGGTGGCTTGCATTTGGCTTCCAACTGTATGTGCAATGGGAACAAAACACAATCTGGGAAGTCACTTACTAAGTCTCTTTAGCCCACCCTAGATCTGTATTTTCACATACTGGCTTTTTTCCCCTGGCTACGTCCATGGCCTCCATTTTTCTTTCTTCCCAATTCTACCCATACCAGCAGGATTTTTGAGTAATTTTGTCCCTTCTCTCTCAACTTCCCAGTAGTTCATGAATGGTATGCTGAATTTCCAGCCTTTATTCTAGGCAGGAGACCCAGTTCTAGTCCCAGTTTCACCACAAAATAATTGTATGACCTGAGCAAATCCTCATCTCTTGGCCTCAGTTTCCACACCTGCAAAATTCAAAGATTACTGTATATTTGGAAACATCCCTCATAGCCCTAAAACTCTCATCCTGGGCCTGATTTTCTGAGGACCATGAATGCATTAAAGTCTCCTGCTACCATTCAATAATGTCCTGCAAAGCCATTACTGGCAGAACAACTGATCATCTGCAGTGATTGTAACAGGTTAAGGCTCCCAGAAACCAAAGAGCTTAGGAACTGAGCCTGCCCAGTGTCAGAAAGACCATGTACACTATATGGAGGCAACTGGCCAAGTGTTTTGGTCTAACAGGTCAAGAGTCCTAAACACATCTCTGAGTCTGTTCCTCTCTTACAAACTACTAATATATCACCTCTCCTAGTCTAGAATGCAGTGGCTTTACCCTGTGATATGCCATTTTGGGCTATAAGCTTCTGGGCAGAGACTGTCAGGTGCATGTCCAACACCACATCCAGTGTTCTGCTCAGTAACTACTGAAGAGCCGGAGTCTTCAGTGGTTCTGGCTGGGGGTCTCTAGAAAGGGTGTGGTTTCAATGAAACAGACATGCAGAGAAAAATGAAAGGAAATAAAATAAAGTGGTTTCAGTCTTGGGTGTCTCTTGCTTTTATAAGCCTCTGGGGCCAAACTCTTTGTTCTATGTCTGCTAGTTCCTTGAAGCCTGAAGCCACATTAGTTCAGAAGTGGATGGAAAGTTCTGGAAGTGAGGGAACATGCAATTGCTCCTATCTGGAGGCACCAGGAAAAGGATATAGACCAAGTAGTGCCCTATTCAAGCCACCAGTTAGGCATTTTGGACTAGAATTTCAGAAGTAGAAAGATGCCTGAAAATGTTTTTGATTGGTTGAGGTAGAGTGATTCTCATTTTCTTAGAATTGCCATCCCAGGGTGTAAAGATTTGAAGTCTCTGAAAGGGTTTCTCCATGTGAACTCAGAACTAAGGTATGTCAGCTCTCACAGGAAGCACCCTGGGCCACTAATCAGACACAGGCTAGGCATCTGGATTCACAAAGAAGGTTCCTGCTTCCTGTCTCAGTGGTAAGCCAGTTGTAAGACCTCACACACAAGTCTCAACTCCTTACATAAGAGATTTTTCTCCTTCTAGAAACCAGACAAAAGGTGGGTGCTCTTTACCCTAGAGGATAGAGGTTTTAGAAACTGCAATAATGTGTGCAAGAGAAGGGTATTCTGCATCTGGAATACATATTTGTCAAGGAATGGCTGAAGGCAATGGGGATATTTTGTTCAGAGAAGAAAAGTAAGGTGACTCGTGAGGACTTTTTTTCAGATACTCACAGAACTGCCAAGCAAAAGTAAACAGATTTGGCCTAGAATACTCCAAAATGGCACAAAAACAAGGAGTTCAATTTAAAAGAGAGATTTTGCTAAAAAAAAAAAAAAAAATTAATTCATTTTCCAAAGGCTCACCTTGTCTGACCAAGGGCAAAGAAGGCTTTGGGAAGGTGAGAAAGAGGGCAGTATCTCCAGAGATGCTCTGATTCCTTCCTGGGTGGGAGGTTGGGTAGGAGTGCCACTCCCTTCCAGCTCTAGAATTCTATAATCTTCTCTTCTATTCCCCTCTACACCTGCTCCCAGAGGAGAAGTCTCTGGTCACTAACAAAGGAGCTTCTTCAAGCCACTAAAGGACCACACAAAGAGGTTGTGCTACAAGAGCAAATTGTGGTAGTATCTGGCTAATTGTTTTTCCAGAAAATCCCCAGCTGTGAGTTCTTCCCTGGCCCTGTTCCCTGGTTTCTCACCTTTCTGGAAGATGGCCCCATTTGCACCAGGAAATGGTTTCATTATGGATAAGTCAGAGGAGAGGAGTATCTTTGGGGAAGCTCTATCATGTACAAAAAAGAAAAATCATGTGATCACAAATCAAGAAACATTACCTCTAGGGAATCAGTTCTACCTGAGACATAAATATCCCCTGTGTTGTTCAACAAATAGAAGCAATATGAATCTGTACCCCCCAAAAAGCCAACTTATATCCAAAAATAGAAGACCTCATGGTGCTCACTTTCCCAGGGAAAAGTCAAACCCAGAATAGATGGTAGGTCAGATCCTAGGGTTCTTCCCTGTGTGTCTTGCTCAATCCCATTTGGTGGGAAAAATAATCCAAAAGATAAGGAAAAAAAGGAAACAATGTTTATCACATTGGCTGTTCTAACACACTGACCTTAGTGGATGCTAAGTATTCTGAAGTGAAATGACATTTTGAAGTAATTGGTTCAATCCCCTGCCCTCAGACAATCTGTGAGAAGCTATCTGGACCAGAGGATGCTCTGTGTGTAGAGAATCTAGGGGATGGAGTGGCCATAATTTCAATCTATTTAGTACTTCATCATATAATAACACAGGGGCCCACTATCCCTATGGCTGTGACTCTATGGATATTAGCTTTAATAGCCAGTATCTCACTGAACCTCTGAACAATACCATGAAGCATGTAGAATAATTCTTGTCTCCCTTCCAGTTGAAGAAACTTAGATCATTAAGTGACATATTCAAGCATCCAGTTCTCCTTACTTCTAATCCAGAGCACTTTCTTCAACAGTGTGCTACTCCAACAGTCCAGTAACAAAATTATAATTACAGAGGACACATAATTTGGATAACTGAACTCTGTCACGACGTTGTCTGGGTTCATTTCATTGTAAGCTCGTTAGAGAATGAGCACATTGGAAGAGTATAAGGTTGCCTCTCTTTTCTCTCCTCCAGGCTAATTCATTTTAGTTTCATTAAATTTTCTTCTCAGGTCCTGGTTTTTGACCTTTCTTAGAAGTTCTCTGAGCTGTTTCTAAAACTACCTTCCTGTCATGGAATTCTAATAAAAGCAATTTTTCCCCTCAGCAAAACTGGGGAAGTCCCTTCTGTTTCTTCTATTCTGTTAGACAAAGGGATTATTAAATACCAGGACTCACTATAAAGCAGTTTAATATGAGGTCCATAAAAATCAATCTCAGTGTATTATATTCCAACCCCATACATATAGGTATTGCCAGCTCCCCTATACCTAATGGAACCACCCTCAGAGGTATATTTCTGAGAGAAAGACACCAATAGGGGAGACTTTGGGGAAAACTGGAAAGAAAAATCATGTGATCACAAATCATATATCTTCGCCAATTATCAATTTTATATTGAGATCCTATCTTATGCTAGAATAGTTTGTTTTTGCAGCAATCTAACTTGAAGTGACAGTTACTCTGACTCCAATTTTAAAAGAATGGTGGTCTTATAACTTGAAATGCTCAGGAATTATAGGTAGACAAATTGGGAGAAAAGTCTGAATGTCAAGTTCAATGTGAATGCTCCAGATCAGTATGTCCCTTGATCTTCCTAATGCTAAATCACACCATCACCTGATCTGCAAGAGTTATTTAATGTGTAGTGAGTAGGGGTGAGGCTGGGGGAGTGAATTCTGAGGTCCCTACCTTCAAAGAACTTATCCCTATTATTAGAAACAAACATCTAACAGGAATCAACTTGTGGGTGGTGCCATAACAGAGGCTCAGAATTTCTGCTTTTGGGCTAATAGGTTCCATATTAAGGCTTGAACTTGCTACCTGCTTGAGCCTCCTCTTGAGCCACCAAGAGTTTGGCTGAAAGACTCTCAAGGCCTCTATAAACCCAGAGCCTACTCTGTGAAGAAATGAAAATTTTCTTTTTCTTCTTTTTCCACATACTGCTCATTTTTTCCATCTCTCTGAGATATATAACTTTTGCTTTGATTTAACCCTCATTA